GCTCCCGGCTCCCCAGACCTCGCGACCCCCGAACCCCGGCTCCCGAACCCCGGCTCCCCAGTCCCCCCGACCCGCGGCCCTCCTTACCGGTCGAGGAGTCTCCGCAGACGCCGGTCAGCACAAGCGCCAGCAGCACGAACAGCACCGCCGCCACGTCGTCCTCCGCGTTGCGACTCCAGTCGCCGCCATGGCCGCCGCCGCCGCCGTAAGAACCGCGCTAGTAAGGCCGGGAGATAGCGGCGGCGGGCACGGCGGCACGTGACCCCGGCGTGCGTGCTCCCAGCCTGGAGAGGCGTGTCCCGGCGTTGCTAGGATACGGGGGGCGGGGCCTGCCAGGAAGGGCGGAGCCTGGTGCGTTTAACCCGGTTCTTTCAAAAAGTTACAAAGTGACAAGGAACTGCACGCTGAGAGTCACACAGTGTCGTCTATTGTGTGAAGGTGAGAAAGGGAAATAAAAAATGATAGAAAACGGGTGGAAATGGTAAACTTTATTTATTTATTTTTTATTTTATTTCATTTTTTTAAAAAGATGACTGGTAAGGGGATCTTAACCCTTGACCTGGTGTTGTCAGCACCACGCTCTCCAAGTGAGCCACGGGCCGGCCCCTGTAAACTTTATATTACGTAAATTTTATCACAATTAAGAGAAAAAATAATTAAGTCACGGGAGAGGGAGCTAATAAAAATACCTGGATGGCAGTTAAAATTGAATCTCAGAGAACGAGTAGGTTTCACAGGATAAGCATCCTGTGCAATATTCACATAGTTATACAAAAAAGTTAATACCAAGGTCAAGGGTTCGGGTTCTGTACTGGCCAGCTGCCAAAAACAAAAATAATAAAAAATATATATATAAAGAAAGTGTATTAGTCCGTTTCTGTTGCTTATAACAGAATACCTGAAACTGGGTAATTTGCAATGAAACAATATTTATTGCTTGCATTTTCGGAGTCTGAGAAGTCAAGAGTCCTGGGAACAGATCTAGTCAGGGCCTTGTTCATGGTGACTCTGCACAGTGACGCAGACTGTCACATGGAAAAATGGCAGAAGCAGAGAGACACTAACCTCCTCACTGGCTCTCCTTTTAAAGCCCTCAGAACCATGCCCACTACCACCACTAAACCATCAATGGATTAATCCATTTACCAGGGCATGGTCCTCACAGTCTAATCACCTCTTCAAGACCCCACCTTTCAATGACCATAATAAGATCTCCCACCCTCTGAACACTGTCAGTGGGGAATAAGCCTCAATGAACTTTGAGGGGACATCCAATCCACAGCAGAAAGTGTTCACTATTCATTTGAAATTCCAGTTCAAGTGGTCACCAGTCCTGTATTTTGTCTGGCAACCCTACTCCACTTTTACAACAAATATTTAAACAAATGACAAAATAATTTCAAATGATAGTGCAAAAACAGGGTGATGGAGCCGGCCCGTGGCTCACTTAGAAGAGTGTGGTGCTGACAACACCAAGGCCACGGGTTCAGATCCCTATGTAGGGATGGCCAGTTAGCTCACTTGGGAGAGCGTGATGCTGACAAACTCAAGCCAAGGGTTAAGATCCCCTTACCGGTCATCTTTAAAAAACAACAACAACGACATCCAATCCACAGCAGAAAGTGTTCACTATTCATCTGAAATTCCAGTTCAAGTGGTCACCAGTCCCGTATTTTTTCTGGCAACCATACCCCACTTTTACAACAAATACTTAAACAAATGACAAAATAATTTCAAATGATAGTGCAAAAACAGGGTGATGGGGCCGGCCTGTGGCTCACTTAGAAGAGTGTGGTGCTAATAACACCAAGGCCATGAGTTTGGATCCCTATATAGGGATGGCCGATTAGCTCACTTGGGAGAGCGTGGTGCTCACGACACCAAGTCAAGGGTTAAGATCTTCTTACCGGTCATCTTTTAAAAAAAACAACAACAACAACCAGATGATGTACCTTCGTGACCTTGGATTGGACAATGGTTTCTTAGATAACACCCCAGAAGCACAAGCAACAAATAAAAAAATAAACTGGACTTCACCAAAATTAAAAATTCTCGGCCTTCACAAGTTGAATTTGTGAAAACATAATTCATAGAATGAGAGAAAATATTTGCAAATCCTATATCTGATAAAGGACTTATATGTAGAATATATAAAGAGCACTTACAAGTCAATAATAATAAAGACAACGTGATTAAAAAATGGACAAAGGATCTGAACACACATTTTGTCAAAGAAGATATAGGAATAGTCTGTAAGCACCTAAGAAGATGCTCAGCATCACTGGCCATCAGGGAAATGCAAATCAAAACCTCAGCGAGACACCACTTCACACCACTTCACACCACACACTGAAACACAGAGAAGTTAAGTTACTTGACAAGGGTCACACAGCAGCAAAACAAAGATGCAGATTTGGGTGGTCTGGCCCCACAGCGTGTTGCCTCCGCCTTCGCCCTGCTCTGCTCAGAGCGCCTGGCCGGCCCCTTACTCCTCAGCCAGCGTCCTTTGGTCATAACCCTCCCTCTGCACAGCATGAGTTTTAACCCTGGAGTCAGCCCCACCCAAGCTCCACTTCCATCTCTGCTACTTACTAGCTATGTAATCTCGGTCAAGTTATTCATTAGGTCTAGTCCTCAGTTTCCTCATCTGTAAGATAGGCTTAATTCTATTTCACAGACTTGCTGTGAGAATTAGTTGAGCTGATGCGGGTAAAATGCCTGACGTGTAGCAGGCACTCGATACCAGTCCTAGTAGGTGTCTCATTACATATTGTTCATCTCTGAGACCCATAAGCCAGCACAGGGGAAGGGTTACAGGCAGGCAAATGTTTTGTGTGTACATTTATCTTTCTGGGGACAGAGTCCATAGCTTTTATCATATAGAAAGACTGTGACGCCAGATGCTGGCAAGCGTGTGGAGTAACTGCACCTCCTGTACTGTGACATGTGGGATGTAAATGGCACAACCACTTCAGAAAAACATTTGACAGTTTTCTGTAAAATGCATTTCACTCCTAGGAGTTTACCCATGAGGAATAAAATCATGTCCACAAAAGGACTTGAAGAAGAATGCTAATAGCCACTTTATTTATTAAAAGTAGAAACTGGAAACAGCTCAGGTGTCTATCAATAGGAAAAGGACAGACAAGCTGCGTGTAGCCATATAGTGGCACAAGACTCACCAACACGCTGAGCCAGTGGCCTGTGGCCCCGCTGCTCCTGTCGCATGGCTGCAGGTCGCTATGCCATCGGGCATCCGCACTAGGTGACCTCCTTGGAGCAGGGACCACCCAGTTGACCAAAGAGGGGTGACCTGGCTCAGGTCAGAAGCGGAGCGGGTCAGAACTCCCAGGCACCCATGAATGGCCACTGCACTCCAGCCCGGGCAATACAGGTGACCCCTCTCTAAGAAAACACAAAACACAAAAAAAGCACCTCCCCACCCCAAAAAAAGGTGAGTAGAAGAGAATTTACACAGAAGACTATATACTGCAATATTCCATTTACATGAAATTCTAGAACAGCTAGAAGACGAAACTAGTCCATGGTATAGAAAAAGATCAGAGCAGCGGTTGCTTCTGGGCAGTGGGTAGAAGACGAAGGGTCGCCATGAGGGAACTTTCTGGGGTAATGAAAATGTTCTATATCTTGGTAAAGGATTGAGTCACAAAGGTCAAATTCAGTGACGGCACACTCAAGATTTGAGCAATTTGGACTTTTTTAAAGAAAGAATTATCTGAATGTTAATTAATTTATTTATTTTCGGTAGGTAGCTGGCTGGTACGGGGATCCAAACCCTGGATTTACTTCATCAAAGCAAAAAAAAGTATTGTAGTTAATTTATTTTTATTATTATTTTTCTGTTCGAAGATGTGGGTGGGGTGAGAGAAGGGGGACGGGCCTGGCCCACAGGTGGCTCCTTCGCTGGCCTGGCTGTGGAGGGCAGGGGGGCCTGGCCGAGGCCCATGGGACCACAGCTCAGGAACCCCGGGGCGTCTGCAGCCGGCTGGGTTACCACTGGGCTATGTGTGGACCCAGAAAAAGTTTTGTAAGCAGACGATAGGATGTGAGAAACTCTGACATATCCTCCACATTTTTAAGCTTCTTTTCTGTATCTTTCGTTTTAGGTGCTTCTCTGAATGTCGCCGTGGGTCGTTTCTTCTGAGTGTCTGGTTTGCTGACCCTAACCCTTTAAACTTGCTTAATCGACTGTTAAACCCTTTCATTGAGCTCTAAATTTC